CAGGAATATTGTTACTACATGACTGAAAATGTAGTTTTCTGGGGCTTTTTAAATTTTTTTGTTTTGTTTAAAGACCATTTTAATATTTGTTTTCAGGAACAGATACATGTAATACAGCATTAAAAATAAATTAAAGCAAACTCCTTAAACTTTTGTTTAAAGAATCAATTTGAATACTGTCAGTGTTACTTATGACTACATTTTTAAAAATTTCTACTATAATACATGCATATTTGGAAAAACACAAACATGAAGGCCTTTAGAATAAAACACCACCTAAGACTCAGCAGCTGAGTTGTGTTTTAACGGAATATTATATTTAGGCTACTGAAGAAAAGTAGAAAAGAAAAATTTTAGGGACCTCCTTGTTACACAGGTGGCCAGATACGGGCCTTTGACAGAAGTCTCAAGGGGAAGACGAGCAGTAGCCAGCTTCATCTGCTCACCAACATGCTCATTCCACAGCCCCACCATCTCCCCTGCTCTGACACAGCAGTGACCCAGCTCTCTCTATTTCACAGCTGACTGGAGGAGGACAGAATTAAGGAGAGGAACGGCCAAGACATAAGTCAATTTAATGTACAGAGCACAGGGAATAGAAGGGATTCAAAAGCTATTAGATAAATTGGCAAGTTGATAAAAATCACCAACACAGTATCAGATTCCATCAATTTAAGTTGTTACCTACATTTAAAAAATAGGTAACAGATCAGATTCCTTGCACAATGTTTTGATGCATATGATGCATATAATGCATCAAAATGCATATAATGATCAAAAGTGAATTTCACAAATATGAAGAAGTCTTAAACAAATCTATTTCCATGTATTCATTTTCAAATGTCCTGGTCTAGAAATAATTAAAATAACTGAAAATTACTAAGCCGGAAGGGGGGGGTATTATAGCAAATAGCTAAAAATTTGTCAATCATTTAATGCATAAGAACTTAGCACATTCCTGTGGTCTAGGTACTGCAACAAGCTTTGAAGTTAAAAAAAAAAATTCATCACATACCCCAATCTGTCTAACTACTGGCCAAATCTTAACTTTTTCATCTATCAAAATGCCTTCTGCTGCAACTGATTCACATTAAGCACTCTTTACAGTTTAAAGCACAGTTCATCCTACACCTGAGGCACGCTGACAGTGATACACAGAAAACAACCACTTTTGCAGCCAGTATATTGTTATCAAGCCAACAAAGTAGCCACACAGTAATGGCACCACTTAGGGACACATACATCCTTCAGCCTTCTGCATGCTGTATTTAAGCTTTTTTTTTTTTTTTAATTGTCAGCTTAAGTGGAAAATACACCTTGCTTGAAGAGATTTTTAATCCAACATACAACACCTCGTAACATGGTCAATAAGACTCAGTTTTCCTACACTACTGCTACCGTTCACATACAATTGCTCCTCTCAGATAAAGTAAAATAATTTCTATATGACGTTCCATGAGATGTCCAGAGTTACAATACTGCCCTAAACATGCTACTGCAATGCAGCAACATTACTACTTTACTTTCCTAAAGCTACTTTAAAAAAAGTGCATATTATTACCTGCAAGTCCATTGGATTCTGTTATCGAATCACTTTTGACTATAAAAGAGTGCAACTAATAAACAAGCTACTTTCTGCCAAGCCAGCCCCTAAGCTACGACATCAACAAGACTTCACAAACAGTTTAAGAAAATATTTCTCATATATTCTATGCATTCATTTCCTTAGCAAATATTGTAATTCCTTCTACTATGATCAGCAAACTAAACAGAAATCTTACCAGATAACAGTTATAAAGACTATGCAGAGTTTACATTTGTATGTTAATTTCAAACGGAAATTAATGAGAAGTGCAACAGAATTCCCTTCCCTTCACTTCCCTAAGTACCTCAGAGTAAGTATCAAGCTATACAATTTACCCTGTCCAACATTTTCTGGTCCACAGCTTCTCAGAAGACTAAATAATACATTAATATTCCAATATGGCTACTACAAATTCCAACACCCCTTAATTATTACCTTAATATTTTAATTTGTTACAAACAAGTTGCTTGTTTAATAAAAGTTTATTCTGCACACCAGTATTTTATTTTGAATCACATTAAGGCAGAAAGATAATATTAACAGACTTACAGTCTATCACAGTTAATTTAGTTGACTAGTAATAGCAAGTTTACAGAAACGAATATTAAAAATGACAGATTTTCATAAAGAACAAACCTGCTGAAAACCCACAAAGCAGGGGATGGTGAAGTTACAGTTTACAGAGAGATTCCAAAGAAAGACGCTTCCAACTTGTGTTGCTTTCCCACTCTGCAGATTTCATTAGAAAATGGAGGAGAAGCATGGTGTCATTTTACTGCTCCAGGAGTGCTGGCTGCCAACTCCTCCTGGAGTAGGGGCCCAGTGACTTAAACTCCCCCTCCAATAAAAAAAAAAAAATGGCAGCTGTTTGAATAACTTTAATGCAGATGGAAAACAGTTTCTCACTCGCACAAAATCAGCGTACACAGATCAAAACGTCTACTAAACCACACAAAGAACAGCACCAAGCTGTCATTTAAATGTTTCTTCTTGCTGCTGCTGAAGCTGACCTCTTAAAAACGTATTGTAATGCTCTCTGCCTGCATGTCATGCCCCAAAGAGTTGTCAGTGCTGGAATGCTGAAGGGCAAACAGAGGAAGTCTGGCTTTCAAGCTGACACACGTAAGATGTAGTGCTAGAATTTTCGTTGTGGAAAAATGGCCGCAGCTGTAAGCTCGGCTAGCTGATCTGGAAAATATCTAACTGTTTGCCAATTCATTAACCCCTGAAGATCCGCACAAAGGTAAGCTGTATGCCATTCCTACGGGTAATTTTAACAGCGAGCGTTTCTTATTCTGTTCATGTTCGCTATTTGCTTTCAAGATTTAAAAGCTAACATAACAGTTTTTCCAATCAGGAAAAGCATAGTTAGGCAAGTGAAAAAAAAAAAATAAAAACACAAACCCAACAAAAAACAGAAGAGTTAGTGTATTCGGGCAATTTTGCCTCACAGAAAAGAAACTGAATAAGAAGTTTCCAAGGTGGGAAATATGAGTCAAAGATTTCAATTCCACACCCAGCTATTTTTAAAAGCACTTTCCGTTACAGTGGTTGATTCAAAGTTTATTCTGTTCTGCTATAAAAGTAGTACTTTATGCCTCTGCCTTCTACAAAGCAGGAGAATTCCGAACTGAAGATTGACAGATGTTTTCAGCTCTAGCTCGTACTGTTTCGCAAAGCACAAAAGCATTCAGAACAACTAACCACAACACTGGCATCAACATTGCTGTTCAAATTTTATAAATTACTTCACCAGGGTATTATGTATGCACACTAAAGCATGTGCAAAAAGATATTTCATCTCTTAATGAAATCTCATTCTGTAGAAGTACACCACAATTACTGAAGTGAGCATATACAACAAAACTCAAACATTCTTCTGAAATAGCATTTACGCTAGTGCTTGGCTTATCATTAGCTACTCGTGGCCACAGTGCAGTTTGCAGAGTCCTGTTTTAGCAGAAATCCAGTGTAAATAGATTGATTTGTCTATCTTAATAGTACTGACATAAAACACAGGAAAAAATACATATTTTGACAAGCTATAAGGAATACCACAACAACTGACAATTTACAGTATTCTCAACAAATAAAGGCTTTCAAATGATACTTATTTTTTCCTAAAATACCTGGTACAAGAGCACTTGGAGGGCACTTGTCAACGTACGGATTTGTTACGCTAGCTGCTGCACAAATAGAGAAACCGTCCACTTAGCAACTAAATATTACATTCATCTCTAACTCCTATGAACTTCCTCTTCTCTCTTTTAATAAAACCAGATGTATAAAACTAGACAGGTTAGAATATTTGAAATCCACAGGAATGACATACATGCATTTTTAATGGCAATATTACAGTATTAAAATGCTACTTGTGTCAGAGACATTTATATCAGCATCATCTTCATTACTTCCATTCCCTATCCTGAATAGGAAAAAAAAATTAAAAAATCAGCACTATTAACTTGCTTGGAAGGTAGCCTTATAATTTTACAGCTACTTTTGGTAGCTACTTCAGCTGGTACAACAACGTCTACCTTAGCTCAAATAACATTTTGGAGCCATCCAAACTACGCTTAAAAACAAGAAATAACATCCCTACCCGCCCCCACCACTTAACCAGCTACTTTTCTGAAAGAAGCAACATAATTCTGAATTATTTAGAGATCCTATACACTGGTATTTTATCTTTAGCTCATGCACAGAATAAATTATTTAAGACATTAACGTGATGGAAACTTGGGAACTAATGAAACATTAATTTGCATCCTGAATACAAGTAGGCAAAACTATTGAAACAATGAAAGAGCTATGTGCAACATAAGCAACCAATTTTGTTCCTATAGAAACTGTTGCAAAAAGTTGCGTATCTGAATCCCCTCTGTTCTTCTTCAGGACTGCCAGCTTGTGCGTCTCTGACAACTCTAAATTCCTGCTAAACTTCCCGAAATACTCTTTTTAATAATAATGCAATATTACAAGTTAGAACTTAATACTTCCATCAGTAAACATTAGGCATCCATGGAGAAAATGCGAAAATAAAAGAAAAGAAATAAAAAAGGGAAATATTAACTTTGTCCTTCAAAAGAAAGGCATTTTCTTTCAATTTGAAGATTACCATCAGGTAGCCTACTGAGCAGAATTATTGCCCTCCCATCTTCACGCTAATTTTAGCCATTTGCTTCTGCAGCCTCGTCCCTGATGTGACGCATGGATGCCAGTGCAGCATAAGTACATAGGTCAAACGTTCATTCAAAATGGAATGTTATTATTAACAGCTAAGTATTTTATAATTTTCTTCCTTCACTATCACTTCAACTATAATTTATTAGTTCAGAATAAACTCAAACAATTTCACAATTCTTTAAATCTGGTATATTATCTTAGAAGCCTTATAGCAAGAATATGCAGAAGAAAACAAATGCTCAGTCTGTACTTCAAATGCAATTCCATGCACTGCTTGAAAAAGGGTGCTTTAAAAAACAAGCAAAGACTATTTATTAATTATAATACACTTCCACAGCTCTTTTATTAAGTACCTGGTTCTGCACCTAAAAGCAACTGTTTTCAGTGACCAGAGTCAGGCTGGAAGGGCCAGGACCTATATTGAGTCCAATGAAACCCACAGGATGGCTGCACACATAGAACATAACCTTCCATTCCTACCATCGGCTATAGCAGTGGTGCACTAACGCTCCTGAAGCCACCACGCTCTGGCAGCTCCCTCTGCCTCAGGCGATCAATACTCCGTAACCAAAACATCAGCCTCCGCTAAGAAGCATGCAGGAGAACTCCAAGACACAGAACACAGGCTGTCCTCGGTCCCTCCGCAGAGCATCGTCACACACTGAAAACCTATTGGTCCTACTCAATCTATTTTTACTTTTTTTCCCCCCATTTAAACAGACACAGTAAAGTACACATTGCACTTAAATAAACTAGACATAAATGTGTCTCCTGATACCTGGTAATTGGTACTGCAGCTCTCGGCAGGCGAATCAGTGCATTTTTTTTTTATGCAGAGAACCTGCCTCCTCCATTTCAACCACATGCAAACTAGCACACTTCTTCAAACACACACCTCAGGAATGGACACTTTCATTTGTTTCTTTGCTGCTTCTCAAGCACAGTATGTCCTCTACCAACAACACTTCAAACATTTTTTGATTTTTCCAACAGTAATTGCATCTTTACTAAGCAGGACTTCTGAGCTCCTGTTCCTACCACTGCTGAAGTAAGTATTAAATCCAACGTTCCCAGAAAGCAGGGATTCAGCAAGCACTCCACATGATCACTTACGCAATTATTATCCACTTTCCAACTAATAGCTTGGAAGTCAGAATTAAAAAGAAAGTGAACAGAATCTTTTTTTCCCCCTTTATAGAAGCCAGGTGGAATTGAGATCTGTATAAAACCCACAAACATTCAGAATAACTGCAGCATTCCCAGTCTGCCACTGAACATGGAAATTACAGCTTTCAGATACTGTCATCTTGATAATTTTGTCAGGATGAACTCTGCACATGCAATAGTTCGTTAAAACTAGACATATCAATTACTTGTCTGTCAAGAGTTCCCAACCCCAGTTGCACTTAGAATATCTGGAAATTAAGTTTCGAACAGATCCATTACATGGATCTATACATGCTCATACTTGAAGCGTTAGAATGTTTGCGCACTTTTCAAAAAAAGAAAAATAAAGGCAAACAAGGAAAAGACCTCAAGGTATTATGTATATGCCTGGTGCTGTATATGTAAGTAACTAAGAATGGAAAGTAGAAAGAACTGAAGACACCAATCCCTGGAATAAATCCTTAGCCACTATTCTTCTAGTCTTTTGTGGTCACTGAAAAAGTGCAACCGAAGTTTCAAAGATCCCATCTTTTAGTTTTGAGAAGAGCTTTCTGGTGACCCATTTGATTCAACATATTTAAAAACACAGAAATAATATACAGAATAGAAATAACTCTAAAGTAACTTACCTTTGATTTTTTGTTCAATGGCCTAGAACAAGAAAATAGAAGTGTCAGTGATTTGTGCAGATAAGGGAAAAAACACATGTGCATGTGCCACTTCATAAAGCAACATTAGCTTTTGACTTCCCTCTTTTAAAATATTTTAAAGTTATTTAATTATGTACTTCAGAAGTGTCTCTCTAACCAACCCATGCCTATTATTCCTTATGCCTAGAAAGCTGTTTAAATATTATAGAAGACAAAATTAATTTGAAAGATAACTACATGAAACAGACTGAATTAAACTTGCAAATTAAGATGTTTGAACTGAGTTAAAAACTGTGCCTGGAAGCAAAGAACCGCCACCACTTTCATTATAGAATACAGCACGGGAAGAGGGAGGGACCTAGAAATTTAAAAGGAAGTAAGAAAATAAATGCAAAAGCTTGAAGTCTTTCATTTACAATGGGGTTACAGCATTGGTGGATACGGGAAGAGCAACTGACATCATCTACCTGGACTTGTGCAAAGCATTTGACACTGTCCTGCACGACATCCTTGTCTCTAAAATGGACAGACCTGGATTTGACAGATGGACCACTCGGTGGATAAGGAATTGGCTGGATGGTCACACTCAAAGAGTTACAGTCAATGGCTCGATAGCCAAGTGGAGACCAGTGACAAGCGG